CGACAACATCGTTACCACCACCAACACCACCACCATCATCATCGTAGTGGCTATCTAATCTACATCATCATCATCCACATCGTCACCATTACGGCTACATCATCATCATCATCATACAATTATTTTCGCGGATGTAAACAACTGCTAATTGACTCATTGAAAGACAATTAGTCAACAATTGAATGATTGGTTGGAAATAACTGAGTGAGTGAATGAAAGAATGAATGAAATGATGGATGGTGGATAGGTAAATAAACGAAGAATGCACCAATTGTTGTAGCATCAGTTAAACGATGATAATAATAACTCCACGATAATAAAATAATTAGAAAGAAAGCCATCTTTCAGCTGGTGACGCGTAAGCCAAAAAAAATCCATTCAACAACAAAGTAAACTATAAAATAAAGTTATCTTCCGGGAAATAAACAATCAATCCTCTAGACAAAAACTAAAGCCAAAAAAAATCCACTCAACAACAAAGTAAACTTTAAAATAAAGTTATCTTCCGGGAAATAAACAATCAATCCTCTAGACAAAAACTAAAGCCAAAAAAAATCCACTCAACAACAAAGTAAACTTTAAAATAAAGTTATCTTCCAGGAAATAAACAATCAATCCTTTAGATAAAAACTAAAGAGATTGAGGGGGTGAAGAAGTGTTCGAATTCGTAAAATTTTTTCATTTTTCAGCCCAAAATTTGTAACCAACGAAAACTTTGTGAACCAGCATACTAAAGACTAACGATAACTCTCATCCATCCCCCATTCTTCAAATGTTCCAAGTTAAATTTTTGTGAAAGAACATTCGACGTAGCAATGTAAATTTCACACCTCTGATAATTAAATAATTAAAATAATAATACACACATATTATTATTATTTTAATTAATATGAAAAAAAACTTTTTATAATTATTTTAATTAGCGAATAGCTGAAACACCAGCAAATTGTTTCAGTAAACAAAGAGATAATGATAGCAAGAAAATAATTTACTGGTTGGTTCTGGCTAACGAGAATAAATTGCTGAATCTGATTGGACCCAATCCTTTTCTTGCGACCAAAAACTAAGTTCTTACGAGACTTTGATATACTTAGTGAACCAATTAGAAATGTATTTAATAAAATTAGTCTCTTGAGTGACACGTTGTTGTTTCAATTTTAAAATGTGTTTTAATTAAACCATGTTACATGCCTTCGTTATTGTTTACGTACTGAAATGAGATCTCTGTAAAAAGTTATCGTCGTCTTAATTCCTTTACAGACGAGTGTTTTTGGTTGACATTAAGAGATGAAATTGTAGTTGAGTGGATGGAGGAGAGGAAGGTGAAATAAATGAATGATATTCGTAAGTTATAATGATTGAATGATTGATTGAATGAATGATTGAATGATTGATTGATTGTTTGATTGATTGAGACCAACCCACAAAGGAATAAACAAACGAATTTCATCAGCAAAAGAAAAATCATGAATGAATGAATGAATGAATGAATAAATAAATGAATTAATTAATGAACGAATGTATGAACAAACGACTGATTGAGGGAATGAATGAATAATTGAGTGAACGAATGATTGAATGATTAACTGATCATAGCAACAACAACAACAGCAACAACAACGACAACAACAACAACAGCAACAACAACAACGACAGCAACAACAACAACAACAGCAACGACAACAACTGACCTTCAACTTTTTGAAATCACCTTGAAACAATTTATTCTCATCGAACTGATCAGGAAATTCTCTGCGAAAATTGACGACGACATGATGATTGGAAAAGCATTTAGAAGAAATAATAAGAATCATAACAAAGAGGCAACAATAATAATCCTAATAATAATAATAATCCCAATGGGAACTTTTTTTATTACCATCAAACCTCAAAATATAAAATCAATTCAATTATCATAAATATAAAAAATGTTTCTAGTCATCATTTTATTATGAAGTATTATAATAATAATAATAATAATAATAATAATAATAATAATAATAATAATAATAATAATAATAATAATAATATTAATAACATAAATAACAACAATGGACAATGACAATCTAATGTGTAATGACAAATGCGGATAGCGTGTTATGTAATGAAATGACGAAATTCTTCATTGGAAAGAAAAAAAAACAAAAAACAAAAAACGACGCGCTGACGATGACTATGATGATGATGATGGTGAATGAGTGAGTCTCCATTTGAGGGTTACAGCCTTAATCAGCCTTAGTTAGAGCTGGCTAGAGATTAATTTCAATGCAGGCACTATAACACGAAATTACAGAAAAAAAATCGAAAATTACACTAAATACAGAAAAACAAGATGAATAATCGCACTCCGAACACACACACGCATTCTTCACGACACCAACTCAGAAGAGGCATACCACCAAAATACAGTCACACTTTGTAAACACACGCATTTCTCGCAAACACCAACTTTCATACAATACAAACACACACACACACCACACACAGGGACAGACACACATATACACCAACAAACCACACACACATATATACCAACAAACCCCACACACATACATACCAACAAACTACACACAGAGACAGACAGACCGACACACATACATACACACCAACATACCAACCACACACACCCACACACCAACACACACAGAAAGACAGACACACATACACAACAACCACACACACCCACACACAGACACACCAACAAACCGCACACACACACAAACAAACAAACAAACACACACACACAGACAAACAACCAACTTTAGTGTGTCCAGCAGTGTTGCTACCATCTCCCTTACCTTCCTATCCTCCTCTTCATTCCCCGTAAAGTACGATTCCTGAAATAGATTTATCGGCGGACAATCATCATCATCAATATCATCATCATCATCATCAATATCATCATCAATATCATCATCA